CCAGTGGGTAGAAAGTCTTGTGGATCTAGTGGTAGTGTAAGCAGCTCAGCACTGGCAGGGGTCTCCATGTGGTTGGTTAAACTCCAGGGCTCTAGTGTAGCTCCATATGTTTTGTCAACAGGAATATCTCGCAGGGAGTGTCTGTCTGTCCCACCGCCAGCAAGCTATTTATCTCCTGAGTGCCTCCAAATGAGGTCATTAAGCTGTGACCTGATTGACAAGCTAAACTCTACCTTTTCACTATTAATGGTCTCAAGTTGACAACAAATTATGTAACTACGGCAAGTATCTTTTCAGAAATAGCTATCTGCAAAACAATTATTGTTAAGTATAGCCAAATTTTTATGATTTATTGTTTTGGACCATTCAAGCTACAACCTCTTCCAATTTGTCTTCTTTATTTTTTCCTCTTCCTACATTTTTTTTTATGTTTCTTCTCTTTCTTCTCAACATCATGAGCATCATCTATGGTCATTATCATCACTGTGATCATCATCACCCTTCAATGATTATAATTTTGATAGTCTTTCTTCAATAAAGTAAAAGGTTAACAAGTGATAAGTAAAGATTCAGGTAGAAAGCAGTATGGCCAAAATTTTTGTCTGATTGTCCCAGAAGTAGACACAAATTGCTACAGTTATTACTATGCATTTTATATTATTACTGAAAATTAGTGAAGGCTCTTTATCTTCATGAAGCAGAATATTTTAAGATGGCCGCTTAGGTGAGAGGTACTATCTATATTTAAGAAGATACAAACCTAGGGTTCTAAGTAATTAAGTAGTATAATCTTCATATGTTCTTAACACAGAAAAAAGGGTTATATTACTATTAATTCATAGTAAGTGAAAAGCATTATACATACTGTGTTAGGTCAGGTTGACCAAAGAAACAAATCCGGAGACACTCATCTATGTGTAAGAAAGAGCTTTATATCAAGAAATATTTGTATATCAAGAAAACTTACCAGGCAGTTTAACACAAGTCCATATGCTCAATATTAGTGTGTAAGTCCCTCTTCAGAGTCATGCAGCCACGTGCAATAATACAAAATGCAGGAAGACCACAGGCCAGTGGGTGAAATGTCTTGTAGATCCAATGGCAATGGAAGCATCACAGGGCTCCACCAGGTCTCAGAGTTGCCCAGCTGGAAGTTGAAGACAAAGATAGAGGGGGAGGTTGGTTCCAAGGGCCCTACTTATGAGAAGGCCGCACTCACAAAAAGTCACCATCAGGCTGTGTCCTCTATACTTTTATATATCTTCAAGTTGACATGAAATCATGTAACTGCTATACACACAAAGAAGAAAAATCACATGCCTGAAAATTTTACTGACTGAAAAGTTCATGATTAAATAATTTTAGATTTACTAATATTATGCAATTCCATTGTCAGATATTTTGAAAGATCCTTGAGAATTACATTGCTTATTCATCTTCTTTCTTCCAAATAGATTTTTTAATATATTATTGCACTATGATAAGATTTAAGTACCAGTGTACATCCTACAGATAGGAACTGAAAATACAGGGAATCCAGGACAGATGAGCCCTACAGGACCAGTGGTGTGAGTGGCGAAACAGGGAGGGAAGAGGGAGAGTGGGTAGGAAAGAGGGAACTGATTACAAGGAACTATATATGACCTCCCCCCTGGGGGATGGACAACAGAAAAGTGGGTGAAGGGAGATGTCAGACAGGGCAAGATATGACAAAATAACAATTTATAAACTATCAAGGGCTCACGAGGGAGGGGGGAGCGGGGAGAGAGGGGAAAAATGAGGGCCTAATGCCGGGGGTTTAAGTGGAGAGGAAATGTTTTGAGAATGATGAGGGTAATGAATGTACAAATGCGCTTTACACAATTGATGTGTGTATGGATTGCGATAAGAGTTGTGTGAGCCCCTAATAAAATGATTTAAAATAAAAAAAGACTCAAAAAACCAAAAAAAAAAAGATTTAAGTAAATTATGGTAGACATCATTGTACTTTGAAGAACACAGAATTTGATAATAGTATGACTTGTTTTTCAATATTAATAACCACTAATCTTCATTGTGTTCATAGAATAAAGCATTTGGAATTGTGTCAGGCTGAATTTTCTAGAGAAATAATATGTACAAGAAAGAATTATACATAATGAAAGAGATTTACATGAAGAAATCAGCCCACACAGCCACAGCAGTATGGTCAAGGATTGCTGGACTCAAGTCCATGGGTAATATGCTAAACTTGAGGCCAAAGAACCAAGATAAACCAGGAAACAGGCAGATGAACCAGGAGACAGACTGTTAGAGGCGGTCTGATCAATAGGTCAGATGTTAGGCTAGAATTACTTCCAGAGTCGTGGGCAATTGGACATGCTGCTGGTAGCTCCCATAGCCGACAGACCCCATGGTGGGCCCCTGGTTCAGATCTCGAGAAGCCAGATACAGGATCCAGGCTAACCAGAAGAAAATGGAGAGAGAGTTCTCCATAGTGTGTTTATATATATGAAGCAGGTCACACCTCCAAGAAGACAGCAGCAGGGTGTGGCTTGAGTAAGGGTTGCCTTAACAGATAGGACATACTAGAGTTATTTACATTTTGTTATGTCCAAGGTGTTGAAGGTCCTGGTCCAGCCAAGCTGACACAAACTCTATTACAGATACTAACATCTCTTAAAAATTATAAAGCCTATAATTCAAATATAGGTATTAGTATAATATATGCAACTGCTCAGCTACACATGTTCTTGGGAATTAAATAAGATGATGAGTGTGTTAGTCTGGGTTGACTAGAGAAACAAATCCAGGGACACATTCATATGTGTATAAGAAAGAGCTTTATATATAAAAGAGCAATTGTATATTGAGAAAACATCCCTGCCCAGTCCAGATCAAGCCTATAAGTTCTATATTTGTTCATATGTTCAATACTAGTCCAAAAATTCTTCTTTAGACTCTCACAGCTCATGCAATGATGCCAAATGCAGCAAGATCAGAGGCCAATGGGTAGACCGTCTTGTGGATTCTATGGCAATGGAAGCATCTCAACGTTGGTGTGGGTCTCTATGTGGCTCCTCCTGCGCCAGGGCTCTGGCTCCAGCAGCATAGCTCCATGTGGCTTGCCAACAGGAATGTCTCACAGGAGAGAGTATATCTGGCCTCCAGTGAGCTGTTTATCTCTGTCAGGCCTCCAAATGAGGTTGTCAAGGT